CTTAAGTTGAATCTGTATGTAAGTCGGAACTGGCGTCCAGATTCAGCTGCTGCTGAAACTGATCAGCAGCGGCTGAATCAGGACTCCTGGGGCAGAGCAGCTGGGGTGCTGCCAGGTTGGTTCAGTAGCACCAAGGAGCGGTGCTGCGGGACCAACTGGCAGCGCCCCACCTGCTCTACCACAGGCCTGGGGCTTTGCTCCACGTTTCCCTGGTCTGCTGGGGGGAGGGGGCGCAGCTAGCGCCCCCTCCCCCCAGCAGACCAGGGAAACGTGGAGCAAAGCCCCAGGCCTGTGGTAGAGCAGGTGGGGCGCTGCCAGTTGGTCCCGCAGCACCGCTCCTTGGTGCTACTGAACCAACCTGGCAGCACCCCAGCTGCTCTGCCCCAGGAGTCCTGATTCAGCCGCTGCTGATCAGTTTCAGCAGCAGCTGAATCTGGACGCCAGTTCCGCCCTGGAGGTCGAGGTGGCGGGACTGCTGCGCTCTGGGTGGTCCTGCTGCCTGCAAGCTCCGGGGCGAGAGAGTCCCGTTCGTAAGTGCAGATCCGACATAAGTCGGATCCGCGTAACTCGGGGACTGCCTGTATGTGTAGTAGATTTTAGGGGTAATTCCATCCTTTGTCAGTGGAAGCAATAATGAGAACATAATAACTAACCCCTCAAAGTTCATCTGGATACAATACAATTTGACTTGCCCCGGGTACCATCTGTTTGCAGATGGTCTTCATTAGACCAACGGATGGTGAGATTATTTCACAGCACTAACAATGTGTGGCCACTATCATATAGATCTTAATATTTACAGTAAATACTAAAGATGAGTGTTCTCTTCATGATATGTGCCTGCATACAGCAAAAAAATCAAGATAATAGTACTGAAGAAGTAATAATCTAAGTAACTTCTGGGCAGAATAATAACTTTGTCACACTTTCCCCCTCCCTTAGATTGTATTATTGGAAAATTGCCTGGTTCTATTTCTGCAGGCTAACAACTGGGTTTTTTAGCTAAGGTTTGTGGAGCTGATTTTTCTGTTGTGGACAAAATTTCTCTATCTGAAAGAATATATTTGCCGAAAATATCACCACAGCACTATGGACATACAAGTAATTAGACATGCAGTCATTGAACTTGAATATATAATTTGGCAGCATGCTCAGTTTCTCTCTTACTTCAGTAAATTAGTAGATTTGCAGGTTCAGTGGGCACAAGTATATTTTGGTGACTGCACTTGTGGCCAGAACTGAAAATCTGGCTGATCTTCCTAATGGGAAGGTTAAAAATAAAGTTGGGCAGAAAATGTCAAGAATGTTTCATAAAAAATTCAAAAGGTTTTTTCTCTATTTTTAATTTTACAATGAGAAATCAAAACTTGCAAGGTTTTTAAAACCAAATGTTTTCCAGTTTCTGACTATTGTTTTTTCCCTTTCTTCTTCTTCCTTTATCTTTCCTTGTCTCTTCTCTTTATCCCACTTGCCCCATTTTTCCTCTTTCCAGTTTGCCGCTGAAATAGGATTAAAAATTGAAAAGGGAGGGGGAAAGAAGGGATGAACAAATGGACTCAAACAGAAATAATTTTCATTGATATGATAGTGGTCTATTAAAGTGATGTCTGTATGTAAGTTTGCCAATAGATGGAGCACAAGAGTATTCAGCATAATTCATAACGTACTAGGCCTTAACTTATTTAATTGACAGCAAATATTTTGACTGCCTCAGGAATCTGTTAGTTCTAATTGTAGGACCCAGTCCTGATTGTCCTTCATTAAAGACAATAGTGCTTCATTACTCTATATGTAAAAGTTAACATTTTCTTTTGGATTACAGTTCTGGCTCTCTGTATTTGCAGAATCAGGTCACAAACTGCATATTTTCCAAATATCTGTATCGCATTGCCAAGAAAAGAAACTCTCTATTTGGGGTTGCAAAGGCAAAGAACCAACGGATATAATGACTCCAAGTCTGGGTTTATGTTATTTCACGGTTTGAGCTTCAGTTGTTCTGTTTCTGCTTCAACAGCTGCCGGAACTTCCCTTCGGTGGACTGGGAACAGAGTAGATTTTCTTGCCACCTGTCCCGATTTGGACTGGGTATTTACACTGTGAGCTGTCCTGGGTTTTAAGAACGGAAACAGAAAAGCTCTGAGTACTTTCTAAACCTATTGACTTATAGCTGCAATCTAATCACCGTAGTCCCCGAAATATTTTTCTCTTTTGTTTGTAGTCCAGAGTCCAGGGTTCTCCTTCAAACCTTGGTTAGTACCAACATGTTTCAGCTGAAATTTTCCTTTGCAGCTCACCTCATAGCCACCTATCTATTCCATTACAAGTTAAGTATATTGAAGTCTGGATGACTCCTCACAGAAATGCACTTGGAACAGGGTTCTGCAGGGATATGTAGTTGTGGGGGAAAAGCGGGGAAAAGACTGTCCCTGTAGACTGCGCAATGATTTTTACCTTAAATTCTGCAGATCTCTTATGCTATACTGATAAACATTTAACACAACAGAAATATGGGGTTTTGAAGCCCAACCTCTAGCTCTAAATCCCAAGATAAAGGTTTGACTTTAGTATATTGGAACCAGACTTTAGTTTTGGATTTAGTTTTGTCTTAGCACATCAAAAAGAGCATAATTCTATGCCTTTGAAGCAGAATTTGTTTTGCTATACAGTCATGCAAACCTTTGCCCAAATTCTGAGTATATGAGCTGTTAGCAGATGACTGTAGAGTTATAAACAGAAGGTTGCTCAATGAGATTCAGGGCCAACTTGACCCTCCCCCATCTGGTGCTACTAAAGCAACATCCATTCAAAACCAGCTGACTAAAACTCTGTTCCTGAATGCCTCAAAGGATAATGAATTATTAGTGATTATTGCTGAAAATGCATGAAGGCAAACAGTCCATATCTTGAAAATGGGTAGGAGGAAGTCTTACCGGCCTGTAATTCCTCAGGTCTGATAACTGAGGCTTGAAATGATATTGAAACAAAATATTAAACAATCCATTTATAAGTACCCAGAGGATAATAGGGGTCTGAGGAATAGCCAATATGGATTTGTCAAGAATAAATCATGCCAAACCAACCTCATTTCCTTCTTTGACAGGGTTATTGGTTGAGGGAGAGGGGTATAGCTATGATACACCTTGATTTTTAGTAAGGTTTTTGACACAGTTCCACGTGCCATTCTTATAATGCACGCTATTTCTCTAGTTGTAACTTACCTTACTCTAAGGTAATGCAAATAGTATAACCTTCCCAGCTGTGCAGCAAGTTGTTCTCTCCATTCCATTCTCAAAGTAATTAATGAAAATATTGACTAGTACTGGACCCAAAACAGAACCCTATGAAACACCACGAGAAACATCTCCTCAGTTTGACTGTGTAATTATCAATAATTAGCAAAGTTGAGAGGGGTTGCAAGCACTTCAGAGGACAGAATTCTAATTATTGATAATTAAACAAAGTTGGGAGGGGTTGCAAGCACTTCAGAGGACAGAATTAGGATTCAAAGTGACCTTGAGAAATTGGAGATTTGGTCTGAAATCAAGAAGATTATAAAAACAAGTGCAAAGTACTATGCACAGGAAGAAAAAAATAAAATGCACAAGTACAAAAAGGAGAATAACTGACCAGGCAGTAGTACTGTTGAAAAGGATCTGGTGACTATTGTGGTTCACAAATTGAATGAATGAATAACATGAGTTGTTGCTCAAAAGGCTAATATCATTCTGAGGTGTATTAACAGGAGTGTCAGATGTGAGACCTAGGACGGAAAGAGTTGTCCCTCTCTACTAAGCACTGGTGAGGCTTCAGCTGGCGTATTGTCACATTTTATGGACATGTTAAGGAAAGATGTGGACAAATGAGAGTCCAAAGGAGAGCACCAAATATGTTAGAAGTTGTAGAAAATCTGACCTTTAAGGAAAGGTTAAATTGAGCATATCTAATCTTGAGAAGAGGCTGAGGGAAAACCTGGTAAGTCTTCAAATATGTTAAGGACTGTGATAAAGATGATGGTGATATATACTCTGCAACCATATATTTAGGACTGACAACAGAAAAAGCTTTCTAATATGAAGCACAGGAGCAAGTTTCCAAGGATGGTTGTGAAATTTCCATCACTGGAGGTTTTTAAGAACAAAATGGCCTAGATTTTCTTGGTCTTGTCTCAGCCCAGATGAATGAACTAGACATTTTCTCAAGGTCCCTTCCAGACCTACATTTCTATTAGTGGTGAATCTCTCTGTTCTGTATTGATGGAAGCTTACTGATCTGGAATCTTGGTTTTCACCTGTCATGTACCCATTTTTAGTTAATAAGTACGTTTACTGGGATATCATTTGAGATAGGGTGAGACATATATGATAACCAAGGGACTGTCCATTTTTAATCAGATTGACACTCTCTATGAAACCAATAACTCTGATCTTTTCTGTAAGCCATTTAATCTTTTAATGTGAACCAGTGTAAATGTACCCCAAAGAACACTGAGATTTATTTTATATAATGAAATTTCATTTAAAGGCAAGGACTGATAGGGATTTAGTTAAACTAATAAATGGTTTGAATCCAGCTCAAGTTGGTATGGGAGTTAGCCAAAAATTGTTACCAAAATGATTGCTATTTGATGGCCTATGTGATTTCAGTGTGACTCCTAGTAAATGGGTGTCCATATGCCCTCCAAAAATGGACAGTTGGCACCTTTCTTGGCAATCTTGTTTGAGAGACCAAGGGGTAGATCCTGAGCTGTTCAGAGCTCTCCTCAGTAAGTGGGAGACGTAACACAAACACTTTCGTTCCAGGATTATGGGGGCTTTATCTAGCCCTCTTCCCCTGATATAGGGAGAGTGGATATTTGGTACAGAGCCAACTACATGGGCCTTCAATCAAGTGAATCCCCAGATGCCCGTATTTACAATTCCTGTGAAAAAGGGAATGGCTTCAATAATTGAAATTGTCTTGGAGAATGATTTCGACTCTGATCCCTTCTCTCTTACCCTTAGGTCAGGTTTGGGACAAATTGGCAGGACGATGGGAAGATGACACTGCTGCTGTCCATGCCGTACCTCTTCTATGACTTCAATTTCCAGGAATGTGTGTATGGAATATTTTGCAAGTACCACATCACTAGTAACAAAAAAATGTAAACTTGCTATGAAAACCAGCCACAAGCATTATTTTCATCTGCTTTTACTCCTGGACTGAATTTAATCAACTTCAGCATAATCTAATTAATGAGCTGAGAGAGAATCAACATGAATTAGGATACAAATTAGTGTCCTAAATCTCAGTACCGTCTTTCCCTCCAGAGGTTAAGCAGTCAACATGCTTTGCAGAGTAGCGTTTAGGGATGGGACAACCTATTTTGCTTTATTATGAAGCTACTTGAGTAGCATTAGACAAAGTTTGCTTAAAACTCAAATCCCATTGAGTTATGCTTTACTAGGAATGAAAAGGAGAGAGGAGGTGAATGAAAATAATTTCTAATGAAAAATAGGGTTAATATAAAGACTGAGAAAATGCAGAGAGAATACTTTCTAATGCTAAATCTTGTTTTATATTTTTCATATCCTTGATAGATATGGTGTATGTAGAGACTAATTCAGTGGTTCTGAAGCTTTTTGGGTTCAGGACTGGTTTGTAATAGTTTGGCTTGTCACAACCCAGTACGTAGTCTGTGGGCAGAGGCCATGGAGCAGAGCTGTAAATAGGCATTTTAGCACCCAAGGCAAGGATATTTGCTCCCCCTACTAGAAACAAAATGGTGGGCTCATGGGAGTCACATGCCTTGCAGATTTTTGTTGCGCACTCCAACCCAAACAGGCCAGGTGGCCACCTGATGAGAGTCAATGGATGGAGGTAGTGGTCCTTTCCCAAACCCTATGGCTCCTATAGTTCCTGTGATATGGGACTAGCTGTGCTTGGCTTCACTCCAGGCATTTCAGTCTCTGGGGTTGCAGCAAGTTTCGTTTCAGTTTTTGCCCCCACCCTCATAATTGGACCCAATTTGTGTTGGTGACATTATGACCTAGCTCTGGGGTTGCCTTTGGCCCACTGTGTTAATTTTAAGTGAGAATGTGGTGTCTAATCTCGTGAACATGCTTTATTCAACTACATGCACAACTGAAGTGAAATAAAAAAACCACAAACTGAATGCTGCTTTCTTGTAAGAAGTTTCCTTTTGCACTTTTGCTCCTTAAATCATATTGAAAATCTTGGAACATTCCTAGATTCTCATCTCACTTTAGACCAATTTTATAGAGGTGTACTGCCAGTGTCTTCAAGGGGCTCACTTCTGATTCATGCTGAGTACGTGAGAGGAGAATCAGGCCTTTTAAATGCTACAGGATATCTTTTCATTAATATGAACCGTTGGAAAATGGCTCCCCTCAGAGGTAACCTAGAAAGCATGCATCAATTCTAAACCTGTCATGTGCTAGATGTCAAACTGAGAGGGAATTTTGTGTCATATCTGGTACAGGAAAAATACACCATTACAGGATGGAATTTAAGAGACACTTTAATACAGTCATTCTTACATAAAGAATTTAACTAATAAAATCTGTCACAATTAGCCATGGAAAAGCATGAAGGATGTTAGAAAGGAAAACCCATATTAAGGTTTAAATTTTGTTTAGCTAAATATAATTGCTGGATTTAAAAGTGTAATGTCTGCTGCTTATCTGATGTCTGATATTTCAACTGGCTTCATAAACTAACCTAGAAACAAATCAAAGAAGCCAATAAAAACAAATTGAATTAAAAGACCATTACTTGCAAGCTAGAATTTTAACATTTGACTAACCTGATATTTATATTGGCTGAAGTCCAGTTTTGACTATGCTTTGAGGTTATGCTGTGTCTCTATAGTGCTCTGTCCAGTCCCTTTAAGCTTATTAACAGATCTTCTTGCTTCAGATCTAGTGTTCCGGACAATAAATCACATATTTTACTTTATGTCCATTTGATGGTTTCAAGGGAAGATGCTTTCATTGTTCTCTTTGCACTTTTATGTGCTGAACAAAATTGTTTCCAAAAAAATTTCTGAAAATTACATCTCAGGTGTTTAATTGCTCATGGCTTCAGCATAATGAACACTGCAGAATATGCTCTTTAAATTTTAATAATCCTATCCTATCATGTCCCTAATCTGTCCTCACTAAATTAGGGTACACAACTACACAGAAAATTTGAATCTGCTAAACATGTTGTTGAGTGTCTATGGATTTTGTGAGCACACACTCATTGTGTGTAAACATAGCAAAATGAACATATGCCAATTCTACATGCTCATTTTAAGGAGGTCTGTTTTGAAAATAATGTTTAAGTGTTGTTTTATTCTAAAATGTTTACAGTCTTGTACATGAAACAAAAGTACAAGCCCATACTGAACACTTAAGTGAATTGTCTTATGATCTAAGCTTTGTGCTGGTTGTACAAGTTCTGGACAAACCTGCCATATATAATTTGGCATAATTGCTGGCCCCTATATTAAAAAGTCTTATAAGAGAATGAAATGAATGTACCTGTGATGACAATCCAGGATTAAGATGAATATTTCCTTTCACTGAACTTTCATCAGAGGATCAAAAACACTTCCACATTAGTTAAACACTCAAGTTTAAGACAATAGTATTTTAATCCATTTCATGGACAGCTTAGGTGAGGTACAGAAGTTGGGATGGTAGAGGTGCTGCGTACTCGCAACTCCTGGTTGCAGGGGTACACTTTATTCCCTTTACAGCATATACAGCAGGGTTGTAAAATTATTGCAGTTCCCATGTGCTGCCATAGGGGACAGGGAACCTACGTGCAGGATGGTCAGTAGAGGATAACAGGATTTTTGCCTGAGTGGAGTAGTGGGATGAAGGGACTTTGTAGTCTTTCAATATATAAAACTTTTAAAAATCAGTGGGGCATAAAATATTCTGTGACCTTGACAAACAATTTTTTATAATATTCAGATGAACAACTTCAGACTGGCTCTATATGTCATCAAAGTTCCACCACATAGGGGTAAATATTAGTCCTTAAGCACCACCTGACTTGGCTTTTGTCAAACTGGCCAGTAAAATCACACGATAAAAGGAAAAGCCTGCTCTTTGCTCTGTCTTTCTATCAATCTTGCATTATTTTCTGCCTACATGCAGGCAAAGACAGGTGATACTCATGAACTATAGCTAAACAGCAAATTCTGGTTTTGAGGGTTTTTTGTTTAGTTTTTTAAAAAGCTTCATAGTAGTACCACAATGAGAAAATCTTCCTCTGTATTGCAACAGACATAACATGCACACATAAATAGACTGTATGCACCAGAACTCCCTGGAGTGCCCTTGAGTCTTAAGAAAACACTAACATGAATTTGCTTCACCCATGTGAAATGTAAATTGGATGAACTCATGAAATAAATTAAACAAATGATTTAAAGTGTGTATAAACATATCCTTAAAACATATGTAAATACTTCTGTTTGATAAAGACTTATTTACAAACTTTCCTGGTATCTTTACAGGCAATGCAAGTAAAACAAAGTAGATCAGAGATTAAGCTCTACTGGATCTGCTCTCCTCACATACTAAAGTTACTTCAGCTGTACTAGTTTTGCACTTTCAGTAGCTGTTTCAGTTCTTTCCAGGTCACTCTTAAAGGGCCAGATTCTGGCAAGCTCTGCATATGTCCATACCAGAAAAACTACAGTCAGGATTGTGAGGGCAGAGAGGCTATGTCTAGACTACATCCCTCTTTTGAAAGAGGGATGTAAACTAGACATATCAAAATTGCAAATGAAACCGGGATTTGAATTTCCCACGTTTCATTTGCATAATAATGTCATGGCGTTTTTTCAAAAAAATACTATTTTGAAAGTGAAAAGCCATTTTCGAAAGATCCTGTAAACCTCATTTTTTGAGGAGTAAAGGATCTTTCAAAAAAGTCTTTTATTTTTGAAAGAACTGCATCTAGACCAGTTTCACTTTTGAAATAGTTTTTAGGGGGGAAAAAACCCCCCCACTGTGACGCGATTATGCAAATGAAGTGCTGAAAACCCCCCCCACTGTGACACAATTATGCAAATGAAGTGCTGGAAATTCAAATCCCGGCTTCCTTTGCAATTTCGATATGTCTAATTTACATCCCTCTTTCGAAAGAGGGATTTAGTTTAGACATACCCTGCAAGGAGTTTGTAGCTTCTGTCAGAAAGTCTAATGTCGTGTGGGAATGTGCTTAGGGACTGTAGTCTGTATACTTAGATATATATATGCTGTGGCCACAATGACTTCAGCAGCCTTATGGAAAGGAGAATACAAGTAAACATACTCTTTACTATTTTATTCATATCTCCTTACTTTTCATGCCACTGGTAAACTCAAATAATTCTAATTTAAGCAGGGTAGGTCAGAAACACTTTGAAACACAGAGTGGTCCAAATAATCAACTAGGATTCAACCAGTCCTTCAGTGCCTTTGGTTTTATTTGAGGGTGGTTGGTTTGGTTTTTTTTACTACATATAATGCATTGCCAAATTAAAACTAGTTTTGGGATTGTTGCTATCATTTAAAATTAAATCCTCAAGAAATATTGAATAATCTTTACATTTTATAAATTAAACCTGTGGATTAACTCTAATTTCTCCCTTGCAGTCACATAAAAATAACCCTTTTTGGTTAAAATATAGGGCAAGATTTTCATTCTTCGTGCTTTCTTTCTGGGCCCCATTATTTTTAATATGGAAAAGTACAATTGTATAGAACGTAAATCCATTACAACTCTGAATTCTACAGCAACATTACAAAGCTAGGTGATGGAAAAGCACATGCTGCAATGGCCACTCAGGCCCGTTCTCAAGAAGGTGTATTGTGACAAATTCCAGGCATAAGACTATTGAAGTCAATGAATTTGTCAAAGTGAGAGGAGGGCCTTTTTGCCCATTTAGCCCCACCCTGCTTTTTCTGCAGCCAATGCTAGGAAGATGCCTGGCTCAGTTAGGGGCTGACTAGTGAAGAGACAGGAGTTGGTTCTGCTGTCTGCAGGAGCTGAGCCAGAACCTGTCTACAGGGACAGCTGCCAGGGCATGTAAGCCTCCAACCCTGGGGCAAAGGAGGGGGAACCTATGAGGAGCCCTCATGAAGGAGGGAGAAATAGGACTCTTGGGGCTATGCCCCAACCTTAAAAACTATACTCAGAAAATAGGTTGGAGTTCCCAGGCCTGTGGCATCAGTGGCAGGGGCTGCACCCTTCCCCTGCCCCTCCCCTAAATTAGGGAGACCTGGCCACAGCCCTGTAATGACTAAATCGGTTTGAATGAGTCTGGGACTGGCTGCTTTTCTTTGGCTCCTCCCCTCACACCATCCCTGACAGATGTCTATCTAACCTGTTCTTAAATATCTCCAGAGAGGGAGATTCCACCACCTCCCTTGGCAATTTATTCCAATATTTGACCACCCTGACAGTTAGGAATTTTTTCCTAATGTCCAATCTAAACCTCCCCTGCTGCACTTTAAGCCCATTACTCCTTGTCCTGTCCTCAGAAACCAAGAGGAACAAATTTTCTCCTTCCTCCTTGTGACACCCTTTTAGATATTTGAAAACCGCTATCATGTCCCCCCTTAATCTTCTTTTTTCCAAACTAAACAAGCCCAGTTCATGAAGCCTGGCTTCATAGGTCATGTTCTCTAAACCTTTAATCATTCTTGTTGCTCTTCTCTGTACCCTTTCCAATTTCTCCACATCTTTCTTGAAATGTGGCGCCCAGAACTGGACACAGTACTCCAGCTGAGGCCTAACTAGTGCAGAGTAGAGCGGCAGAATGACTTCACGAGTTTTGCTTACAACACACCTGTTGATACAACCTAGAATCATATTTGCTTTTTTTGCAACAGCATCACACTGTTGACTCATATTCAACTTGTGGTCCACTATGACCCCTAGATCCCTTTCTGCCATGCTCCTTCCTAGACAGTCGCTTCCCATCTTGTATGTATGGAACTGATTGTTCCTTCCTAAGTGGAGCACTTTGCATTTCTCTTTATTAAACCTCATCCTGTTTACCTCTGACCATTTCTCTAACTTGCTAAGGTCATTTTGAATTATGTCCCTATCCTCCAAAGAAGTTGCAACCCCACCCAGTTTGGTATCATCTGCAAACTTAATAAGCGTACTCTCTATCCCAATATCTACATCATTGATGAAGATATTGAACAGTATGGGTCCCAAAACAGACCCTTGAGGAACTCCACTTGTTATCCCTTTCCAGCAGGATTTAGAACCGTTAACAACAACTCTCTGACTACGGTTATCCAGCCAATTATGCACCCACCTTATCGTGGCCCTATCTAAGTTATATTTGCCTAGTTTATCAATAAGAATATCATGCGAGACCGTATCAAATGCCTTACTAAAGTCTAGGTATATGACATCCACCGCTTCTCCCTTATCCACAAGGCTCGTTATCTTATCAAAGAAAGCTATCAGATTAGTTTGGCATGACTTGTTCTTCACAAACCCATGCTGGCTATTCCCTATCACTTTATTACCTTCCAAGTGTTTGCATATGATTTCCTTAATTACCTGCTCCATTATCTTCCCTGGGACAGACGTTAAACTGACCGGTCTGTAGTTTCCTGGGTTGTTCTTATTCCCCTTTTTATAGATGGGCACAATATTTGCCCTTTTCCAGTCTTCTGGAATCTCCCCTGTCTGCCATGATTTTTCAAAGATCATAGCTAAAGGCTCAGATACCTCCTCTATCAGCTCCTTGAGTATCCTGGGATGCATTTCATCAGGACCTGGTGACTTGCTGACATCTAACTTTCCTAAGTGATTTTTAACTTGTTCTTTGTGTATCCTATCTTCTAAACTTACCCTCTCTCTGCTTGTATTCACTACGTTAGGCACACCTCCAGACTTCTCGGTGAAGACCGAAACAAAGAAGTCATTGAGCATCTCCGCCATTTCCAAGTTTCCTGTTACTGCTTCTCCCTCCTCACTGAGCAGTGGGCCTACCCTGTCCTTGGTCTTCCTCTTGCTTTTAATGTATTTATAAAAGGTCTTCTTGTTTCCCTTTATGCCTGTAGCTAGTTTGATCTCATTTTGTGCCTTTGCCTTTCTAATCTTGCCCCTGCATTCCCGTGTTGCTTGCCTATATTCATCCTTTGTTATTTGTCCTAGTTTCCATTTTTTATATGACTCCTTTTTTATTTTGAGATCGTGCAAGATCTCCTTGTTAAGCCAAGCTGGTCTTTTGCCATATTTTCTATCTTTCCTACACAGCGGAATTGTTTGCTTTTGGGCCCTTAACAACGTCCCTTTGAAATACTTCCAATTCTCCTCAGTTGTTTTTCCCTTCAGTCTTGCTTCCCATGGGACCTTACCTACAAGTTCTCTGAGCTTATCAAAATCTGCCTTCCTAAAATCCATTACCTCAATTGTGCTGGTCTCCCTTCTACCTTTCCTTAAGATCATGAACTCTATTATTTCATGATCACTGTCCCCCAAACATACATGTGTGTAGGATTCATTCAAACTCCCAATGAGTTCAATGGAAATTTGATCTAGTTCATATGTTAAATTTATTCCCTTTACTCCCCCAAAACCATTGAAAATAATGAAAATAATTACAAATCTTATTCCATTAGGACCCAGTCTAGCATTATTTTCAATGGGATTACACACGTGCTTAAAAGTAAGTATTTGTTTAAGTGCTTGGCAGGGTCTGGCACAGAAGCCTGGATCCAAAAAAGAAATTAGGCATTGCAACACTCAGTATCGCAATGCCTAACTTTTAGGCACCAAGAAACTCACAGGAACAACACAGCAATCCACAAAGTCCAAATTAAAATAAACTCCCTAGATGATGAATGGGAAAAGAGAGGCACCTTAGCGTGCAATCCACCAAACCTAGCATGCTAGTTAGAGAGCTGCCTAAACTAGCCATAGGGAGATGCCAACAAAAAGGGGGTGGGGTTGAGTGCTAATCCCTGCCCCTTTCCTGGACACAGGTGCCTGAGTTCAAGATGCAGGGAGGCCTCTAGCTGTTCAGCAATCCATGAACAGGAATCTGTTCTCTAGAGTCAAGTCCTTAGCTGCCTTCTTCACTCTATGCAAAGTGGCCAGAGGAGGAGATGGCAATGGTATTCACCTTATAACCCAAAGATTACCCCTCTTACCTAGGATGTGGAAACTCAGGCCCAATTCCTCCTTGAAATTGTTGGGGAGAAAAAAAATTGGAAGAGGGATTTTCTGCCTCAGAAAATATTCTGATGTGGGGCTCACTCAGGGCTCATCTAGGCTACCAAGAAGATTCGAAAAAGGATATGCAAATTCCACAGGAATTTTTATATCTTCTTCTGATCTCACTTTCGAAAGCAGAGCTTTCAAAAGTGAAAGTAGTCTAGACACACTTTTTTTGGTACCCCCTCCCTTTTTCGAAAAGCCGCTTTTCCTCAAAAAATTAGGTTTATGTGGCTTTTTAAAAAAGGGGGGGGGTACTGAAAGAAATGCATCCAGACTTTTCACTTTTGAAAGCTCTGCTTTCTAAAGTAAGATCAGAAGAAGATATGCAAATTCCTGCAGAATTTGCATGCATAGCCTCTTTCGAATCTTCCCCATAGTCTAGACATAGCCTCAGTCTCTCCTGTTGAAGCTATTCTACTTTGGATAAAGAGTAATTGGAGGAGAAGGCTGGTTCCTGAACTTCCTATTTGGCGGCCCTAATCATTAGACTATAGAGTCTTTCCCTCTTACCCCAGTGACTAAGTCTTTATCCACAGTAGAATTGTCATCTACCTCCTGCCATTAGCCCCCTCACACACAACTCCCTGCCCTGACTCCTGTACACCACCAGCCCTGTGCTCTGAAGACTTGAGCAATGCCAGGTAAGTCTTCCATTATTAATATAAAATGGAAGTATTTACATATGCAAATCAGTTGTTTGTGAGCATTCAGGGCCAGGTAGGTCCTCAGATCTTGCAAGCTACCTTAGCTAAAGGGAAGTCATAGTTCAGTGTCCTCAGTATTTTAATAGCAAAAATAAATTTGCATTATATATTCTAGGTGCACATTTAAAAACTGGAGTGCATCAGTCCAAAAGATCTGTTCTTTCTTAATATTAATGTTTATATAACTTTCAGTTTAGGGGTAATTCTATTTTAATTCATCTTTCCATTTAGAGAGGAATCTGAGGTTGAATGCTGGATCTGAACTTTCTGGGCATTGCTAGTGATGGAATGTGCAATGGTAGATATGAATCTAGCTAGATTCAAAATATAGAAAACAATTCCAACTTGCAGACTTTGAAGTAAAAACCAGGCCCCGCTGGGGGCTGAGCCTTCATGTTCCTAGCATCTTTCCTTTGTCTTCTTAGAGGGAACTCCACAGACTTCACTCCTCTCCAAGGCTTTTCAGGAAGACATAGAATGACTGGTCCCACATAGCTCCATCCCTGCCAGGAGGCCATCAGAATGTCACCATCCTTCAAATTAGCAACATGATGGTAAGTAATTGAATTTTCTAGTCAAAGGTCAGGAGTAGGCAAATGTATATGCTGACGGGGTGGATGAGGGGAAGCATGCCATGCTTCCTGTAGCCATGGGAATGCTCTCTTTTTTGAACTGAGAAGTTCTCAGAGGGAATTTGGCTTTCTGAGGTAAAGTCTGTCACAGAGCTGTCCTGGATAGGGTTGGTCTCACTACCCCAAGCCAGGACACTTCCTATAAGACACAAGTGATTGCTATGGCTATATCTGGACTACATTCCTCTTTCGAAAGAGGGATGTAAATGAGCCCAATCGAAAGTGCAAATGAAGCATGGATTTAAATATCCTGCACTTCATTTGCATATTCGCATCCAATCACTTTTTTGAAAAAGGGTATTTCGAAAGTGAAACTGCAAAAAAAAACTCCCCTTTTTTGAAAAAACCCATACTCCTGAAAAAATAAGGAATACAGGTTCTTTTGAAAAAAGGGGAGTTTTTTTTAAAGAACCATGTCTAGACTGCAGTTGAGTTTTTTTTTTTAAAGAACCATGTCTAGACTGCAGTTCACTTTCGAAATAGCCTTTTTCGAAACAGCGATTGGACGCTGCCCTATAAGACATGCCCTATAAGAACTGTGTAGTGACCAAGTACCATACTACATCCAGAAATTTTACAGGTGTTAACAATAAATTTAAGCAAATATTTTTGGCAGTTTAGCATGTGTACTCCCATAGTTACTCTTCAAAATGTTTGAACATTGTTGATGGAAATATCGTTACCTCATCCAAAACATCTCAGTCATGACAAACATGCAGTTTATATTAGAGAGTCTAAAAAGGCCACAGTGCAGTCAACATTCTCTAAGCGTGGGTAATGTGTCCATTTAAGTATGGTTTGTAACAATCTGTGTAATTTCGTAAACACGAAAACTTTTCTCAGAGCTGCACAAGTAAACAACGTCCAGCTCCAAAGCACTGGATGAAACAAAAGAAAATGCCTCACCTCACTGAAATCTGCATATTGTGGATGAAATCTATAACCTTTTGAAATTGATGTAGGATTGATGTATGTGTAAGGGTCTTATCTTGCAGACATTGACTTGTCTGAGCTATAGGATCAGACCCTATACCATGAATAATTAGACAGATGGAGTTAAGAAAGTAAGATGTGTCTTCTACTGGTTATAACACAGGACTGTGACCCAGGATTCCTGACTTTAGCATAGATTAGCTTTGTGTGACCTAAGAAAAGTCAGAAAATGTCCTTGTAATTCAGTGTATCTGTAATATACGGATATCTGGCTGGAGAGTTGGGAGGCTTAATTCATTATTCTGTGTTATGTGCTTTGAAGATGAAAGGTTTTAAATGAAAGGTTCTGTAGAAGTGCTTTCTAAAATTATTAGTGTGAATTTACTCTATGGAATGTCAGGCATAGTTGGTACTTACTTCCTCCATTTACTCTACCCCATAGCTAATGGTGGTAAAAGCCAATTGCTTGTTTGTTTATTTGAAAATGTTCACAAAAAATGAATTTTAACCAAAGTTGCTTTGTGATTTTTGTTGAAAATGCAAACACTCAACATTTAAAATGTTAGTTTGTCAAAAAAAAAAATCATTTTTCTGCTGTCAACATTTCCACAAAACTAGACATTTTCTTGCAACAAAAGCTGTTTTCATCAGAAAAAAAGTTTTTAACAAAAAGGTGTCGTCCAGATATATCCAGAACAATCATATCTTATTTCAATGTAAATAAAATAAAACAGGATTCTGGAACATGAACAGTGCCTTCAATCACTAAATCTGTTGCAGTCACACAGAAAAGCGAAGTAGGATGTATGGCGTGGGGTCTAGGGTATTGGCCTCAGATGTAGGTGTATTGGCTCAGTCTGTGCTCCTCTATCCATTAGACTTTTTGTTCACATCTATGAAATGGAGATCTGAGTGCCCATCACATGCTGGAGGAGAGGGTGGGAGAGGAGGGTGAGAGAATAAATACTCTAAGGGTGATCTACTGATGAAAAGTGTTATGTAACTGTGAGCAGGGTTTGAATGAATTCTTCCCTGACAGCTAGCTGGGAGGAGGAGAGAAGACTTCTGGAGCAAACTGTATTTACATGTACATACCTAGTCTGCCAAGATAGTCCATAGATATGACAGTGATCAACTTTGGCTGATGTTAGGATACAAATCTCTTTAGTAGTAAATGGCCAGATGTCAAGTGCAGCAGAATGAATGGCAGGCAGGGTGACCACCGGAGAGGAACAGTAGCCGGGGGGGCAGGAACAGTGGCAGGGGAAGCAAAGTGGCCAGCCAGAGCAAGCGCTCAGATGGTGGAACAAGCAAGGTGTCTACTACCCTTGGGGGAAAGTGAACTCACACTGATAAACTTCTAAATGCTGGTTCTTCACTCATCAAGGACAACCATTGTGAGTGATGTTGGGTGGGGTGAGGGGTACAGAAAAGGAACTTTTGGTTGTAGAAAGAAAGAATGTGAGGCAGATGACTTTACTCCATGCATTCTGGGGTGGGTGTCCTGCTCACAGTTTTATGGCTATAAATCCTGCTTGTGGCATTTTATTTAATTAATGTTGGGTGATTTCCCTGTTTTCATTAAAAGTTTTTTTCTACACTCAGGTTATGGTTACACTTGGAAGGTTTGGGGTACGTCTACTTTTTTCTACACTCAGGTTATGTTTACACTTGGAAGGTTTGGGGTACGTCTAGACTACAGGCTTTTGTCGACAGAAGCTTTGTCGACAGATCCTATCGACAAAGCTTCTGTCGACAAAGAGCGTCTAGACTACATTCAGTTCTGTCGACAAAGCAACTTGCTTTGTCGACAAAACCCTGTAGTCTAGACACAACCCTAGGGTGTGTCTAGACTACTGAGTTTTGTCGACAAAAGTGGACTTTTGTCGACAAAACTATACCTGTGTCTACGCTACCGCTGAGTTCTGTCGACATAATGTCGACAGAACTCAGCAGTTTTGTCGACGCTGGTAAACCTCATTTTACAAGGCATAACGTCTTTGTCGACAGAGTTCTGTCGACAAAGGGCAGTCTGGACGCAGGGGTTCCTTTTGTCAACAGAAGGAGACCTCCAAGGAAGCCCCCTGCTGGAGAGTCCTTCTTTAGGAAAAACCTCTTCTTGGTCCTGTCTGTAGCCATGTTTTAAAGGCACAGACATCCCTGGCAGGCATTGTGGCAGGAAGCTGGCCACAGAGAGATCCTGTCAGCCCAGAGCTCTCCCAGCGTAACCTGCACGTGGCCATGTGTGCAGCTCCAGCGCCACGAGGCCCCCAAGGAGCTTTGAGGGAGCCAGCCCAAGTTCTCTCAGGCGAGAAAAAGAGAGCCCCAGCTTGGTCAGGGACAGAGGTCCTGACACTGTTAGAACTGTGGGGGGAGGAGGAAGCAGTCCAGGCCCTGCACACCCGGCGCAGGAACGCAAACATCTATTGCCGCATGGCTCAGGGGCTGGCCGATAAAGGGCACCATCCCAGGACACTACAACAAGTCCAGGCAAAAGTAAAAGAACTTCGCCAGTGGTACATGAAGGCCCGAGAGCAGAGCTCGGCTTCAGGTGCAGCCCCAGTGCACTGCACCTATTATAAGGAACTGGACCGCATCCTGGGAGGCCAGGAACCAATGTCTGCACCGGTGCTCATGCAGACAGGCTTACACACACCGATTCAGCATAGCCGGCAGGAGGTCCCCAGGGAAGATGTCGAGGAGGAGGAGGCGGCGGCGGCGGCAGAGGAGCAGACGGAGGACACCCCGAGCCTGACTCT